CAAACTGTTTTAAGTGTTATTCTAAAAAAAGACTTACGGAAAACTTCTCAAAACGCAAGCAAATTTTGCTTTAAGAAAACTTGTAATTATATAAATTGTTTATAAGCTTATTTGCACTTATTTATTTCTTTTCACAGGAATTTCGAGTTAGTAAAGGAAGACTTAGAAAAGTTCCAGTTGGAAAGTTCATCAGTATAGTTAGCAACCACACAAAGTTCCTCCAAAACTTAACTTAATCTCTATAACTGTTCTGAGAATGCGTCCATTAGGGTTGGTTAAGTTTTGTTCACCTTAGTTAATCAAATAAACTACCCATTAAGCACACACACTATTAGATCTAGAAAGTATAGGTATTAGGAACCCATGAAATGAAAATAGTCCGCAAACAAAATCCGAGCGCCAATGCTTTGTTTCGGGCACCGCAAGCGACTCAAAATGCGACTGAGTCCAAGTTACGAGTTATTGATTTTGTGACTGCTAATGGAAGTGGGGGGATGCCATAACCATCCTTGTTTTCGTTATTTCGCCATAATGGAAATTTTGAATTTGCCCAGAAGCTTTTCTGTGAGCATCGACCAGGAGATGAGCAGGAAATGGAAGCTACGGGGGAAGTAAAATCCAACCGTCCTTTAGTTGCCAAGTGGTCGCTGTTTTTTCTGACGCACCAAGCGGCTTCCTATGCGTCATCGTCTTTCATCGTTTTAAGAAACAGCTGTTGTTGTTTGGTTTTGATAAAAACAAAAAAATAAACAATATTTTCTTGTTATTGCAATTATCAAATGCATGTCTCTGGCACAAATGGCATGTCTTTCAAGGTTAATTCACATGCAAGGAGTGGAGTATACCTACAAACTGTCGTTTTACTTGTTTGTTTTGGGTATTTTGCCTTAACCAAGGGCAGGGCAAAGTATTAAGGACAAACCGCGCAACATTTATCGCACTATATATAGAATATGGGGTGGTGGTCGGTGGGTGGTGCCATTTCCCCTATCCACCGCCCTTCGCCGCCCACTGACGTTTGTAAATCGTATTGCATGCTTTGTTGTTTGTTTTTGGTCTATTTTTGGATATGACATGTATTGGTGAAATTCTGCACACAAGCTGCCAAAACGTGACAGCAGTAAAAATACAGCACAATGATATATAACCAGGAAAAGTGGTCTGAAAGTTTCCAACTCTCATTGTATTTCGCAAGTTCTAATTAGCTGGTGCTTACAACAAATATGATAATGTATATAATTAATTCGCAGTTAAATGCTAGTTTGAGGTCCCTAAAAAGCTAACTTCAAGACGTTCCAAGACCCAATAAATTCACACAAATCAATATGACCTCCAACAAATTGGTGGCAACACTTTAATGATCATAAATTCTGCCATTTATTTCCAAGAATTCAATTGATGTACGTATGTCAGTGCATACTTGTATGAGTAAGTATATAGAACATTTAAGATCTGGTGAAAAGCAGATAAACCCAGACAACAGACAAAAAAATTAAACCGACTGGAATCAAAAAAGAGAGAAGGAAACTGTATACCACTCGTATACGTAATTTCTGTCTTTATTTTTATTCTCGGGCAAAGCATATGATTCGGACACTACATGATAAGAGTGCAATTGTATTTTTAATAAGAAAATTAAATTTAAGATAAGTCTTTTTAAATAATTTTGAAAACACTAATATTTATTTTCAAAAAGCTCTTTGTCATCTAAGAATTATAATAATTTTATATTTTAAGTTAATGTGTCACATATACAATTAAATGATTAGTAAATGTTCTATAAATAACAAAAAAAAAATACTAAACAGATTATTTAAACAAATTATTTAAAAATGTTCAACATTTTGGTGAAACAAATGTTTTAAGTTTTTTTTAATCACAATAAAGAAATTTTGGAATTCATTATATTATATTTTATTACTTTTTTTGGACTGTTTTACTCAGCTCAATTATCAGGAATTTGTAAATGTTGTGTTAACTGATGACGTCTTTTTATATACTCGCATGGGAAATTTTTGATAAAACCGGATTTTTAAATTGTTCATATGCTTGTTTGATGCGCTTATCTTTTTTGTTCTTGATTTTATCACGAATAAATAATAAAAGAAAATCAACACTCAAACTGAATGATATTTGTTTGTATGGCCGGGGCAATATCATTGAACTCATTCAAGGACAAGAGACCCCGAACGGAAATAAAACAAAGTGGACAAGAAATCTGACAAGAGAATTGGTTTAAAAAAATGGACCGTGGTAGAACTTTTAACCACCAGTTTGAAAATAAATTAGCCCATGTGGGTATCTCAAATGTCACTAGGTTTAAGTTGCTGGGCGGTTTTCTTTTCTGCGTTTTTATACCCTTGCAGAGGGTATTATAATTTTGGTCAAAAGTGTGCAACGCAGTGAAGGAGACATCTCCGACCCTATAAAGTATATATATTCTTGATCAGGATCACCTCCTGAGTTGATATAGCCATGTCCGTCTGTCCGTCTGTCCGTCTGTCCGTCTGTCTGTCCGTCTGTCTGTCCGTCTGTCTGTCCGTCTGTCTGTTTCTACGCGAACTAGTCTCTCAGTTTTAAAGATATCGAATTGAAACTTTGCACACACCCTTCTTTCCTTTGCACGCAGTATATAAGTCGGAACGGCCGGGATCGGCCAACTATATCCTATAGCTGCCATATAACTGAACGATCGGAAATGCCATAACTTTGGTGTTTGTAAAGTTAGGAAGTTGGGATTTTCTATGGGTTTTGAATTTGGCTAATCAATCCGACATGCCGAATTTCATAAGGATCGGCCGACTATATCCTATAGCTGCCATATAACTGATTGATCGGAAATGCCATAACTTTGGTGTTTGTAAAGTTAGGAAGTTGGCATTTTCTATGGGTGTTATATTTGGCCAGCCAATCCGACCTACCAAATTTCATAAGGATCGGCCGACTATATCCTATAGCTGCCATATAACTGAACGATTGGAAATGTCATAACTTTGGTGTTGTTAAAGTTAGGAAGTTGGTATTTTTTATGAGTATTAAGAATGCATCATTTGAATAATTTTGGAGAATATAATTTACAGAGTATTCTGCAAGGGTATATCAACTTCGGCTCCGCCCGAAGTTAGCTTTCCTTTCTTGTTTTCAATTCCAATTGACGCAATTTACTGATATCGATTAGCAAACATTGCGATGAAGATAAAAACAGCAGCAAAAATGCGACAATTGGAGATAAGAGCAAATCAAAGCCAAACCTTGTTGAATAACTGATTGTGAAAATATATAAGTTATGAGCAGTGACGGAAATCTTTCCACTAGATTTTTTACGTCCACAATTGCTTAGAATAAAATGGCAACTGATTTAGCCATTTCGCTCAAAAAGAATCTCTCGGCTACATCTTTTGTTGACTGTTTGTTTGCTCTCGCTTTGATATGATAAATGTGCTTAAAATGCCTTACCAGATTAGATATTAGATGTCTCTCAGTGTACGTATATACACTGCGAATGACGTATGGCACAGATAAACCGCCAAAAAAAGTAATAGCAGTGTTTGAAGTTTTACTGGGACATCCTGGCCTGTCCCAGTTTCATTGGGCTTATAAACTGGGTCAGCTGACATTTACTTTCAACTTGCAACTGCAGTTAACCAGGTAACTGGGCCAATTGAAAGTAAAATGCATAAATTTACACATTTAATCTAGTGTATGATTGCCATTGTTTTGATAAAAAATCTGTTATGGACATATTAAAGAATTTGCTTAAATTTTTGTATGTTAACTAAGACTGGCGCACCAATATAGAGGAATTTAATTAAACATTTTTCAGATATAAAATTTATGAGAATAATTTTAATACAATATTATTTTATACAGATTTATTTAGTCTGGATTGCAATTCTAAACTTCATACGTACTGAAAAGGGCTAAGAGGTTTTAAAAAACACTTTTAGAATAACGAAATTTCGATTTATATTAAACATAAAATTTTTAGTTTAACTTAATTATGGATTTAACCACAACTCTATTTATAGTGTATAGATCAAGCAAGTTGGATGAGGTAAAATTTTGGTACAACAAAAAAATTACATTGTAAATGCCAACGCACACATGCACACCAATTCCGTGGCTTTGAATTTATTACATTGAAAATTTGGTTATTTGAAATACTTGTGGCTTGAACGGATCCCCGCCCACACTTACCACAATTGCCATACACATTTGAGTATAACTTTTGAAGCTTTTTCGTTGCTTTTCGTGCACGAGAAAATTGAATTCACGTCCACACGCACACACACAGTCACTCCGCGAGACTCTCACAGACACAAAATCCACGAATGCAATTGGCTTGTATGGGTACTTTTCGCCAAAAACTAATGCGCTTGTTGTGATTGTAATTGACCAAGTCTTTAGTTAATTGTGTTAAAAGTGTTTTATATTGAATGTGATCGGTAAACGTAGGTTTTTGGGCGACATTAACACGAAATTCGTCTACAGTTTAACCTCAAATTTCTTTGTCGCACACAGTCTCTCTCTCACACACACACGCAGACAGCGCTGGGCGGAACCAAATAGGAAAAAAATCAATCAATTTCACTTAATTCGTGGGCGTAAAAGAATCTACGTAGTTTTCAGCACTGGATTGCACATTTAACATGAGTTTTCACAGATTTTCAGGTGTAATTTAGCTGCAATCGAAATAGACGTTGCGACCTGCTAACAATTCACTCGAAAAAATCTCTGACAGTGAGACCGTTTTCGCATAGCGTAGAATTCCTAATGCGATATTTTTTTGAAAAAACCGATTACATTTAACAATAATAGAGCTTTGAGAAAAATAATTTGGAACATTTTTTTAGAGAGAGTTAGATTAAAAACTCCCAAAGCTACTAAGATTTTATACTAAATTATACTGTGTTATATATAATTTTAACACTTGCGAGAGTACCCCAAAAAATACTTAATAAAACGAGTCGAGTTACCCTATCATTCCCTAGTTTTTTAATTTAGTATATTACACATACCTACGAAATCAAGCGGTGATCTATCAGAATTAGTCATCGAATTGCCGCTTGCAGTGACAAACAATTACCAATTATTATATATACCAGTGTACAGATAAACATTTCAGAGTAATCCCTCAGGGCATGTCCAAGCGAAAGGCCGAGGACACAGAACCAGCCAAGATGGCAACAGCGGAAAAGGTTCCACAGGTAATATAACAAAAACTTCCCCCAAATGTCAGTTATTTTATTGTTTTTGTCTCTGCAGAATGATTTTACAATTGGTTTGGAGGATCCTGTAAAGGATTATCAAAAGCTCATAGAAACGCGCGTTCAGGTAGACGAAATCGTGGACGATGATGTCACCAAGGAGAATTTTGATCGAACGGCTGCAGCGGCGCGTGATGTCATCTGGCGGCTCTTATTCGACGGGTCGGATACCACGCAATCAAATGTAGAGAAGGCCAACCAATTACTGGAAGAATATCGCGGCGATGCTTGCTTCTATGACCCAATGCCCTACAACGAATGGATTGTCAAACTAAGGGATGAGGTCCTGAAGCGTGAACTCCTAGACTTTTGGCGCGAAATTCTGGTGAAGAAGCAATTGGGGCCTTGTTGGTCACGCGATTGTGATCTGTTCGATAGCGATGATACGCCGCCGCTGGAGTTCTATGCCCATGCCGGTTGTACGGCTCCTTTTGCAGCTAGTCTCAAAGTGCGTGCCGTACTGGAGCAGGAAGAACCTGGTGTACCCACCACTCCCGGTGAACTAAGTGCCGATGATACCGCTGCCCTGACTGGAGAATTCGAAGCCGTGCTGACAAAGGAAAATCCTCTTGAGGAATACCGCACGCTGATGAAACGCTTTGTCCTTACCAAAATCATCGTTCCGGACAACGTGCACCAGGCCAGCATAAAGAAGATGGCGGCCGCCGCTAGGGGGATAATCTGGAAGCTACTCTTCGATGGCACACCTTCGTCGGAGGATCAGGACAAGGCCGCTGAGCTGCTGCGCGAATACAAGGGCGATGCTGGATTCTATGGGCCGCATGACTTCAACGAATGGATTGTTAAGCTTAGGGATGAGGTTCTTACGAGGGAGCTCCTTGACTTTTGGCGCGAGAAGATAGTGAAGCTGGAACTGGGTCCAAGTTGTGCTCGGGATTCCGATTACTACGACAGTGACGATCCCCTGCCGCTGGACTTCTATGATAAGGCCGGTTGCAAGGCTCCCTTTGCAGCAACTATCGAAGATTAAGTTCTAAATCGCAGGCAGAGAGTGTTCAGACCTGAGATTTATTTCCTTACATCCCTTTCGAGTGAAACGGGTTATCTGAGATATCAGATGATAAACAAACGTATACAAGGCCAAACTTTAAAACTATGTTTTGTAAAACCTGAATTTATTTCTGTAGGTCTCAGAACAGACTAAATTACTTGATTATAAAAGTACATTTCTTTTCTACTAAACAATTTTGCTGGTTGGAATCTCTCGAATAAAAAATGTTAAAGCATTTGTCATAACTTGTAGTTTAACATGTTAGAATTGTTAAAAATATTGAATAAAAATAAAAGCATTTGTTTTAATGTTTCGGAAATAAAGCAGTTCATTTTATTCAGGGACCTTTGGCTGCTTGTCGAGATCATCTACTTACAAATTTGGCTAACATACATAAGTAGACTAATTTTTGACCATCAATATTAAGAAGAATGAAAATAGTATTCTTAAATACATTTTCCCATGGTAGGTTTAGTAATTTTTTTTCTTCCCACTAAAAATAAAAGACGAATTCTTTGGTTGTTCCCTTTGGCAATCTTAATGTATATGAAATCAAATTAAATACTGAGATTCAATAGAATTGGAGTAATTTTTTTGTGGGCTTGGACCGATTTTGGTTACAATTCTTTTAAATATTTAAATGTAAAACCAAAATAAAACATTGTTGTATTTCGAAATATTCAGTTTTACTGACTAGAAATCATTTTCTTGTTCCTTCCATTTCCGTTAATGGGGTTATTTCATTTCAAGACCTGTACTTTGGCTTATAGTAATTTTGTATCTTCTTATTTGGATATCAGGTATAACATTGTTCTTCAAGTGGTTGAGTTATCTTAAAATATATAATTCATTTTTTTCAATTGTATTAAAAACCATAAAACTGGAATAAGTTTCAACATTCAAACGTTTACTTACAAGGAAGCATTTTCCTATTTCTCCTGCTTTGATAAATTAGTTCTTTTAGTTCCTTAAATGAATGGTTATTAAATCATATTATTAGTTTAATATAATAGATGATATAAATCAAATCAAAAAATGATCATTTTGGCACAGTTTGTATTTATACATAAATATAATATTTTAGAATTTTTTTCGATTTCATCATTTTCTTAAATCTAAAGATAAGATTATAATGCTTAAAAATTAGGGACATTTTCTTTACATATTTAAATCGATTTTGTTTATTAAACTATAACACGAAATACTTTGTAAAGTTAACTATTAAATGCCAAACACAAAAAGTAAACTAGAATCAATTTCGAAATTTGAGCTTTCACTGACTAGAGAACATTTATCCATTTCCATTTATCTTGTTCCCATTGTTTTAGTTTTCGTCTTCTTTTTCACACAACGCTGAACTAAACTGGAATTAAACATGTACAAATAAATCTAAAGGGCTTTCACAACATTTGAACAACCCAACGAAAAAGGAATCTAAAAATTTGCGTCCTAAAAAAATTCATTTTGTTCTGTGGGTAAAAATGGGGAACCATTGGTTCTCCATGAGATCTAAGTGGGGATTAAACCAGGCGGGAAGGTTTGGGATTTATTTCCAGTGACCTCAAATATTACTCGGCGTAGAGCAGGCGGGATCGCGACTTCCGGAGGCCCCGAGAGCCTCCACCGCCGATTCCACTGTCTCCACCTTCGCCACACTGCCAGGATTTGGTCTTGGCGCGGAAGTACCGGAACTCATCATTGTGCGCTGGCGCCAGCATGGGCACATATTGGCTGGGCTCACATAACTGACCGTACAGCCCAAAGAACTCCTTGTAGCCATTGTGCAGTATGTAGAGCTCTGGATAGCCCAGTGTCGGATAGTTGTGGGCATGCTGACTTCTATCGTTGCTCCGTAGGAAGCGTAGTAGCTTGGGACCCCTCTCCGAGGAAAATTCGCAGTGGAACACATAGATGCGACGATCCTCCTGGTTTGAAGTCAAACAAGGAAAAGATTCCTGTATTTGGCCACGTGTGTACAGATTCAAGGCTCCTTGTATGTGACCACCCAGGAACTCGTATGGATATCGACAGTCTATAATCTGATAGCCACCATGGCTTCCCAATTCCTGGTCGAACTCCCCTTGGATTAGACGGGCCAGTGTGTCACTGGAGATGGTCTTCAGATCACGATGTCTTATGCCTGTTAATAAGCAGGGCAAAGCACAAGGCTTGCTGAGATCCCCAATTAATTGGGGTTCCTCGCCCAGAGCGCTCATGATTTCTGCATCGTTCATGGAGAGGGTCTTCCTTTGCAACTTCTTGATGGGTGACTTGGTCTCCTGACCCGCTGGTTCCTCATCCTCTGGTTGATCGCTGGGGAACAAACTTAAACAGCGACGTAGTGAGCGTGTCTGCTTAGTTGTTTCCTTATCCGGATTGCCTTCTGATTTTAGCTGCCCGCTGAGGAGCAGTTCCAGGTCATCGGGTAGCTCTACATTGTGATCCTCGGCAGAATCCAGCTCAAACATGGCCATGTATTCATCATCCAGGGAGTTGCCAGAATCGTAGCTGGAGCAGGAGCTGCTAAAGCTGCTTAGGGTTCGCGAGGACACGCTGTTAAAGGTCCTGGAGGATTGAGTTCGCTGGGTGGACTTGGGTGTCCCGTCCAGACGGGCACCGCGCATATTCTGGGCCAATTCGGTGATGGGCGACAGAATGCCGGCACTGGCGGGAAGATGCCGTTTGAGCATCCTTTGCAACGGCGTTTCCTGCGTGGCGCCAGACTTGCGTCTCTTGGCCTGGTTTTCCACATCCACATCGTGGGCATCCAAAGTGGAATCCTCCTGGCCACATGCCCCTTCTTCCTCCTCCACATCGAGCATCAGCCGCTTGCTGGCCATCTGCAAAAAAAAAAAAAATTTGCAATCAGCTGTAAACGGAAAAAATCAGCTGGATTTCCAATGTATTAAGTTAATTTCTCTTACCCCTGATCTAAATGCAACTTTATCTATAAATAGGCAGTCCAAGCTGTAGGTTCCAACGTAGGTAGCGGGTTTTTGGCCAAGTCCTTGACTTTTATCACGTTTTTCCTTCGCTTTTACTGGTCAACTTTATTGGCGCCTTTGCCAACTCCCCATTCCAAGGGCTGGATCGAACTCACCACCCGCCAATTCACCACGCCATATGTTCACTGGCGCGCTTTCAATTTTTGAATTTGAGTTGTGCGTTTTTCTGAGGTCTTTGCATTTTACCGATTAAATGTTTATTTCCTTTCAGAAAGCAGTGAAAGTTTTGGGAAAACTAAATTTGTATACATAATGTTTTAAAGTGTCTTTCATTCAAAATATTGACAAGATCTCGTGAGATTCCTAACAAAAACTCAACTTATTTTTTCTATTTCCCTAAAAATTTAGAAATATGAACTAGAGTTTCTATAAATAAAGTAAGTAAAAACCTTAACTCAGCCCGTTCCTTTTTGTTTATTCCATACAATTATTTCTTGAGTGCCATTAACGGATGCGTAGTGAAAAAAGGTGCTATTGATGCTACAACTATATATTAATGTAATTATATAATTATATTTGTAATTTCAATATTTTTAGATGATACGATATGATAATCTATTACATTTTAATTTATTTACTTTATTTTTATATTTCGATAAATATAAATGCCAAGCAATAAATTCCCAAAAAATCCGGGAAAAGTATTTAACTGGTCACACCAAATTATTGTTTACCTTTTTGTTTTTAAGAAATATGCCGGAATTTGAAAATTTTAATTTAAAAACCACAATTGACTGCAAACAAGGAGCTGTACGGGCTGTGCGCTACAATGGTGAGTCCTTTGATGTGTTCATTTAAAAAACTAAGTAAAGTTATTAACCTTTAACAATACATTTAATTATTAGTTGATGGTTCCTATTGCTTGAGCTGTGGATCTGACAAAAAGATAAAACTCTGGAATCCGGTTTCGGGAATACTTCTCAAGACTTATGGAGGTCATGCAGACGAAGTTACAGATGCGGCGGTATACCTTTATATATATTATATATTGATTAAATTATTCAAATTTAAAATTTTTTGTACATTGCAGGGAAGCTGTGATAGCAGCTACATTGTCTCCGCCAGTTTGGATAAAAGCATTATCTATTGGGATGTGTCCACAGGTGAGGTTTAAAAACGTAATATCTTACGTTAAAAGAGCACAAGCTATTTCAATTCTCCTATAAAGCCATAATAAAAGAAAGTCAAACTTGGCAGGACAAAAGGCTAAAGTGTGTCTCGACTGTCAGATACCCGTTGCTCAGTGAATCAATTTACCACCAACATGTGGCGCCAAGTTCTATTCTAGTGGAAAGGAAGAAAATTAGAGATGCTGCACCAACTGGGGGTAGACATTTACCTGCTGCCGCTGATAATAATGACCAGATTACGTTTTTTAACTTTATTTCTTAGTTAATTTGGACTGGTTTCGTCTTCTTAACTTTATTTAATAGTTACTTCTGCAATAATTGTTTGACTTGGAAAAGTTTCGGTGTGTCTATAATCATTGCCCAAGTAAATAATTTGGATCTAATAGCGTTAGCAGCTACAGCTTTTAAATCTCTAGAAATATCTGTAAAATAAAATTTAAGTGTTGGTACTAATCAAGAAATGTTATCCAATTTAGGAGCCCCCGTTCGTCGGTTGCGTGGCCATGCCGGCGGAGTTCGGTGCGTCTGCTTCAACGAGGACTCCTCCGTGGCAATTTCCGGTGGCAGAGACAATGCCGTAATGTGCTGGGACATTCGAACGCGTCGCCTGGATCCTGTGCAGGTGATGAAGGAGGCTCGCGATTGCATCACTACGGTGGCGACCAACGAGAATCGGATTTACGCAGCCTCTTTGGACGGATGTGTGAGGACCTACGATATTCGAGTGGGCGAACTCACCTGCGACAAGGTGGGCGAACCCATCACCTATCTGGCGCAGACAAGGGATGAGCAATGTCTGGTGGCAGGCTGTCAGGATAGTGTAGTGCGACTCCTGGACTGCGAGACCGGTGGACTACTCTCCGAGTACAAGGGCCACTGCGGCGACGACTACCACATTGAGTGCGGAATACTGGCTAACGATGCTCACATCGTCACTGGATCTAGTAACGGAGATGCCTTTGTTTACGACCTGCTCGAAACAAAAGTTCTGCAGCGCATCCGAATAAGTAATGTTTTATTTTATAATCAATTTAAATTAATAACTTAATGGTTTATTTATAAAGGTGATAATGGCGGCGTGGTCCACTCCTTGGCCACTCATCCCAAGCGACAGGAAATGCTTTTCGCCAGGAGACGGGATATGTACGTCTTCTCCACGGATTTGGAAATCGAAGAGGAGCAGTTATAGGTTCTAGTTTCTATTAAGCCAAGTTCAAGCTAGTGATAGATTTAAAAAACTAGAAACTTAACCATGGTCACGATTCAGTAGGGGGTTATGACACCCTTAAATTTTACAAAAGCTGAATACTTTTCATATTTATGTTAAAAAAATTAAAAATAAAAGCATATCCTAAAAAATTGTTCTGCGAAAATTTTATAAATCAAATTTTATATTCCAAAAAATCTCACTTTCATTGTTTTGCCGTTAAAAAATATTTTTTAAGTCAATTAGTCTCCACATAAGAACATAACAAATATACATGACTTTGAAATGTAAAAACATCCGACCAAAACCCAAATCGGATTTTTTATACCTGAATATTTTGAGTTTTTTTTGGCCGGTATTCATTCAAGGTCCATCTGAGATAAAGACTGTTTTCAAAACAGATTTTCTGCACCGTTTTCATTTTAAGGTTTTAAAAAAACCAATAGTTGGTGAATACCCCCAGAAGAAAAATGTGTTTTTTTTGTTGAGGGAAAAAGGAAAAACCATTTATTTGACATAATTTTTTGTATTTTTTTGTTTTCATAGAGCATGAATGTATGTAGTAATATCTGGTTGTTTTTGTATGATCGGCTTATATATGCTTCATGTTTTCAATTTCGTTACGTTTTCATTTCCTTTAACTGTGAACGGCCTGCATAATGTTTCCTTAATCAAATATTTCGAATGCGGACGAGTGGGCGAGGGAGCGGGGGTGGCAGAGTGTAGCTGCCTGCATGCATTTGCTGTTTCCTTCTTCATCATTCTCATAGTCTCTCTCCTTGTGGGGGAAATGCGGGACGCCAAGCCGCGGCAACGCTGCGCGAACCGAATATGATTCTTCAATTCGAATTTGAATTCGGGTCTCAAGAGTGGCGCCCGAGCAGGGACACTTGGTGTCATAGCTGGCATCTACGAGACGTTTTCGGAAAATCAGAAGAATCAATAAACGCACAGCGTCGGCGCGGCTTGGCGAAGGAAGACAGCTGCAAAGCTATTTCGCTCACACGTGCACATTCTTTTTTAAAGGGGGTTTTTTTGTGGGGGGAAAAGGGATCGAGGAATTCTTGGTTTAACTCTCTGAACTTGTCGTACTTATGATACTAAAGCATATTAAATATGTATGCAAAGTATTTGTTTATTGTAGTTTAGTAGTAATATTATGTAATGTTCCGTTACTTATGTTCGTATGTACTCTGCATGTATTATTTATATATGTTGTGGTAGGTATGCGTAATTTGTATATAATTTATATTTATATATATATATATATTTATATAATAGTTTATATAATAAACGATTTTCACTTGCTTTTAGTTCTGTTTTTCGTTTTGCATTTTTTTTCTTTTCCTTTAGATTGTTTTAATTTTTTTGTGTTTTTGTTTTGTTTCGTTTTGTTTAATGTTTACCACCCACGCTCTGCACTCGCTTATATAATTAGACTTAAAAATTTTTTACACAAATATATCAACAAAAACTCAATAAGTTCCATTCAAAGTATATAATGTACGCCTATAAATGTTAAAATTAAAGATATGAAAAAATAATTTAAAAAAGGTAAAAATTAATGCGATGGTGTTTATAGAGTTCAAGGAATTATCAATTAAACTTGCTTAAACAATTTCGGCATCTCTTAACGTTCATTTAATTTCGCGCCCTTCCACTGCATGCAATTCAAACGAATTAACCAAACAAAAATTCATAAATTTTATGTCTATTTTCTTTTTTCATTTTCTTTTGTACTCTGTTTTGTTGTTTCGGTTTCGTTCTTTTGTCGTTATGCTGTTGTTTGCTGCTCTATTATGTTGTTGTAAATCAATTGTTCAGTTGTATTTTGTTTGTTTCTTCTTATGTTAATTCTAGTTTCTTAACCAATAAATGAACAAATGTTATGTGTATTTTTTCTTTGCATTTAATTACAGTGGCTATATGTTTTGTGGTTTGTTGGCGTTTGAAGCTTGGAAAGAGAGGTCTGGTTGAGTTTGAAATTAAATCATAAATATCCCAAAAATACAAAATTTGTTTAGGTCTGCTTGGTATATCTTTTTTGTTTCGTTTTCTTTTGTTTTTTCTCTTGTTAAACTCCTACTAATTTACATTCTTTTGCCTCTGCCTCTGTTTGGTAACAGTCTCTTTAACATTTCTGTGGCTGCTGCTGCTGATGATGCTACTATTTTTACTGCTTACAATAAGGTTAAAGTTACTGCTACTATTGTTACTGTTACTGTTACGTTGCCGGGAGGCAGCAAAAGGATTTTGCTTAGTAAATTGTTGAGTGGTTGCGGTTGTTGTTGCTGTTGTTGTTGTCGGTGTGGTTGTGGTTGCCGAGTCCTGGCGAGCGCCTTTAATACTTGCTCTTGCTCCAGTTACACCTCCTGCCCCACGTTGGGCGCCACATCTTCCTCCTGCCTTTGCTCCAGCTGCATTATATCCCGAACCCGCTCCCGTTTTGGGGCCATTGAATCAGGACGACGGCAGCTGCTTGGCCACTATTACGCCCGGTCGGCATTGTTTCAAGGCTGTGGTGATGGTCAGCTGCTGAGCGCCACCGCTGCCATTGCTGCCAGTGATTATGGTGCCCCCCGTTGAACTCGCTGACAAATGGCTGCTGCTCCCATGTCCGCCTGTTGTTTGCACCTTGAAGATCGCCGTCGGCGTGACCGCAGTACTGCTGCTGCTCGTCGAGACCAAGCCGCCGGCATCCTTCGCCGACTTGGCCGTAATGATCACCTGCTTGTTGCCGCTGCTCTTGAGTTGAAGGAAGGGTCGCAGCTCCGCCAGTGCCGCATGCTGCTTGCCCGTGGTGGTCAGAGCGAGTGGGGCATCCTGCCCCAGTCGATGATGATGCTGCAGCTGCTGGTGGTGATGCACTCCAGTCATTTGGTGATGATGCTGCTGGAGATTCTGCTGTTGGCCAAACTTCTCTTGGCCGCCACTGCCGTCCGCAAACAAATGATCGCCCTCCAGATGTCTGATGGCCTGGACAATGGTCTCTAGATTCTGACGATGTGGATGCTGATAGTGCGTGGTCGTCTGCATCGATGGCAGATCGTGCTTCTCCGCCTTCACCTTGACAATCTTCTCGTGGATTCGTTCCACCTCCACCTTGGGCGTGGCCTTAATGGCCGCCTGCAGAATGGGCTGCAGCATCGCAGCACTCGACGTGCATCCTTCGGCATAGGCTTTGGCAATTGCATTCACGTTCACCTCGTTTTCAGACTCCGTGGAGCTGTTCGATGACAGGATGACCTCCTCGTGCACCTGATCCTCGGTGATGATTTCGGCAGCGGCATCGGCCTCCAATTCCTCAATGCTGGAGCAAACGACCACCTGCTGTTGGCCCGTCATCTCATCGATTTCCACGTAGGAGACAGTACCGCCGAGTTCCTCCAAATCCTCGCTGCGCACAAAGTTATCGGTGTGCTCGATGACCTCGCGTGGAATGTAGGCGCCACTATTTCCGCCTGAAGCGGCTGCCACTGCAGTTCCTGGTGGTGCTGTTGCCACACTATACAGCTGCCGCTTGATCATCTGCAGCTCGTCTTCGAGGAGTCTCCGCAGGCTGCGCTCCTTCTCCAGCTGCTTCTTCATCTCGTGCAGTTCCTTGGCCGCCAGAATGCTGGCATTGCTCAGTTTGGTGGCCGCCGCTCCGCCCGCTGTTAGCAGAGTCATCGGTTCCGGTGACATTGAGCCAAGACCCTCGTCGGAACTGTCGCTAATCGCCTGGATGTTGATCACGTTGTCGGTCAGCTTGCGCTTCTTAATAGCCACCGCCGTTGTGTTGCCCCCGCTGGCACTCGAATCGTTGTAGTTTCCGCCAGAGTTGGCACCACCCTCGCCGGATCCTCCGCCACCGGCCTCGTGCTCGCCCACCTGGCGCTTCAGTTCACTATTCTGTGTCAGCAGCTGCGTCTTCTGGTTCTCCAGCTCCACGATGTATTGGAAGGTCTGTTGCAGGATGGCAGCCTAGAAATAAAAATGAGCATGGATTAATCGAAATGTTTAGGGTGCATAAAGGGTTAAGGATATTCTAAGCTATTCTCTATTAACCTATGTATATAAAGTTGTAAATAATAAAATTATATAAAAACTATTTAATGTGTAATTTAGAATAAATACTATTAAAATCTTCAATGGTTGAATTCCTAGAATTATGGAAGTTAAGATTCTTAACCTAACGTAGATTTTTTTTAAGCCCATTGACTATAATTTGTTTTTCATTTTCTTTGCCACACTGTGATTAAAAACAGTTTCTTCCATAATTATTTTAAATAATCGAATTTATTTTGGGTTTGCACATAAGTTATCATTAAGATGAGGAAATTATTAACCCTTTATCCGTTCTCTGTCTTTTTCTCGCCCCACAATAAAAGTCATTCAGAAGACACACATGTGCAATCTTAAGCTGAGCATACAAAAATAAGGGGAGAAAACGGGAAAAGGAGGATGAGGACGAAGACCAAGCATAATTGCCGAGAGCAGACTTAATTGCAATAACACACAACACATAAACAGCCTGGCTTGTTGCTTTTGCCTTGACTGTTTTTGTTTGCCTTTTTGCGATGTTTATAGTAAATAGTGTAGTAAAGCTGGGAACCTCGCTTCACGAAAAGGTTAAGGAACTTGTGTCCTTCAAAATGCGCGCGCTCTTCAACTCATACTTTGTGCAACACTGGCCAGCAAAAAAAAGGCGTGGGAAGGTAAAAGTGGAAATTGAATTGAATGCAAAAACGGTGGAAATCTGGATTAGAGAGTGGCAAAGCGTGGGCGACATGTTGAGCCACTTATTTTGTAAAACTTTATCTGTTACCAAACAAAAAAAAACATTTCAATTTATAATAACTTCATCGTAAACTTAAAACAAAAATAGCAGTAACCGTAAAAAAATTAATAATTTTAAAGAATTGAAAATACTACTTGGTTACTTTTATTTATAATTTCTCCTATCTATCTCCTATCTATCACATTCACCTAGAACTCCTCGAAATACTTAACAAACAAAGTTAACTAACATGATAATGACATTTTAAATTTTCGAAATAATAATTTAAATGCATGAAAGAAATACAATTCCCAGGAAAAACCACAAGGTAGAATGACATTTCCATTAAAATAACCGCAATTCTCAGTGTGGGAACAAAGAAACTTAGAAGTGTCCTGACATTTTTTTTTATTTTTTTCCAAATACAATTTCTATACATACCAAAGGAATGCCATATGCATTCTTTGGGCTTTGATTAAGAAACCATAAATCGTATGCTGCTTTAAAGTAGTTATTCTTGTTGTTTTTGTTGAAAACTTGTTTTGGATTTCGGTTTTTGTTGTCGGAGGTCACTACTAAAAGGCAATAATAACAACTAAAAGATAGCCATGCTGAATAACAACAACAACCTTATGGGTCTGCCGGCATATCACAGCTGCTCTCACTCTCTTTACCGCTCTCGTACCCCCTCCCACTCAACTGCACACCATCTGTGTTGTGTAGTTGTGGTTCGTCCAACTCAAAGAGAGAGAGAGGAAGAAAAAGAGAGGATGTTGTTGTGTGTACAGTTTTCTCGGCTTTATTATTGTTGGATTTTTGGTACCCAAGATATTTTCAATCTTCGACTCCCCATCCCGCCATATCATCTATCTATATCTATTTATATCGCAGACATCGGCATTGCAATGTCGTGCGCATATCTTATAAAAACAGCAACTACAAAAAACGAGAATAAATCACATTGCATATTTAAGTTTTCTAGTTGTGGTTTTTGTTGTTACACACAAAGGTCGTTCATTGACTTGTCTATTGGAAATCGTAGTCGTAGTCGCAGTCGCAGACAGAGGTATTAATGGAAAGATAAGAAGAAGCGGGAGCCGCTTTGTCTGATAAAATATTGAAACTAACAAAGACAAAGCATTTTTGGTTGGTATACCAACAAACTTGTACAGACTTTATTAACAACTAATTTTTAAGTTAACTTATACATTAACACTAAAAGAGGATACTATTTAAAGTATGTTTATGGCAAGAAAATATTCTTATAAAAACTCACTTCCAAAATAAATCAAAATTAATTCTTAAACTTAATAGTAATATAATAATTGTAACTTATTTTCTCAATATTTTTTAGGTATTTCATGTGCAATAATTTTTTTAAAATTAGGATTATTAGAAGGTATGCACTTGTTCTTGGGTCCGACTAGTATAATCCAATACTCTATACGGTCATTTCACCCATTCTCGCATCATATGGTTCTCGCTCCCCTATCCAACCACTATCCTCCACTCTCTCACCACCATTCGCGTCTACTAGCCGGCAAATTGAGGCCTTGGCTAATAAGAAAATGTCGTTGCCTTCGAAATTATAGTTGTATTTGTTGGAAAAATGCCGGCAAGTGAAACGAAAAGAAAAATCCACCACCATTTCTTATCAGTGTGTGTAAACAAAAGGCAAAGTCAAAAGCAAAAGCATAAGCAAGAAAACAAAAAAGACGATCAAACTGGCGGGTCCAACAAGAATCCAATTCAAAGCAAACACAAGCCAACCAACAAAGCAACAACACACAACAGACGGCCGCTTTTGCGGTGACTGTACTTTTTTTCCAACAGGAAGCCAGCAACAGTTCCAATACGAAAAGTTTTTCAATATTCGCCGGCGCCGTCGTCACAAATGTTGCTAGAGAGAGCCGCTCTCTGGTTATGCCTCTCTTTCAGGTAGGGGTAACTGCATGACGTTGGAGCGAGATGGCTACAGCCTTCGTTGGGTTTTTGTTTCATTTTCGTTCGTTCCGCGAAACGGAAACCAAACGTAGCGAAAAACATGTGGGCCCAAGCTTTTTCAGCCTCTCCCACGTGCTCTCATTGTCGAGCTTTCCAGATATTCCCAATTGGAAGTCGCGCTCTCTTTCTCTCTCTCTCTCTTTCTGACAGCTGACTTCTATAAATGGCGCGTCTGTTTCCATCGTTTTCGTTGTAGTTGTGGTTGTTGTTGTTTGCCCACCCTACAACTTGCACTACAACAAATTTCGCTGATTGAATAAAAGGAAATGCATAAAAATAGCAAATACGCCGCCGGCACAAGAGAGAATTCGTCATCAGCTGAGCTGGCAGTCAAAAGCGTCCATATTGGTGTATATCTGTGTTTGAGGCGTAGCGGTAAACTAAACATCAACAAACTATGTATATTATACATATCTTACGAAAATGTATTTTTATCATAAGTTTAAACAGACAAATTACACATTTAGTGTTCTGAGATCTGTATGTATTTAAAGTTTAAGTTTTCTTATTAATATATATTTTTTAAATACATTATCACCAAAATTCCCATACCAGCTGTCTTGTATATGTAGCTGTGTTTACTTGTTTTTATGGGTTTTCTGATAGTAAAGTGGGAGCGTATTGAAAGAGGAAGAAAAAACAGCCGGAAAACAAATGCCTCGATTTGATTTCTAATGTGTAAGAGCAGCACAACCACCAAAAATGCACCACATTCACTTCCTCCCTTCTTCTGTTTTCTTGATTTTCTATTATTTTTTGTTTTTTTTGTGGCCTACGTGCGTGCACGCATGTTTCTAAGCGTAGCGCTTTCCTCTTCTTGGCAAAATGTGGTTAAAATGAAAACAACCAGGAAAAATCAATTTATTTTTACAACTTTGTTGGTTGCCCAGCCCCAAACACAAACAGCAAAACGGAACTTCGTGTTATCTGCCATATAACAAGATACTTTTGATAACCTATAGCTCGACGAATACGAAACTTCTTCTCTCTTGCACCAAAACAAACAATTTTTATGAACTAAGCAAGCAATAAACAAGGTAATGAAAATTGTTTTCTCTTTTTTATTTCACTTGGTTTCCCAATTCCGGTAATAAAAAAATTGTTCTAATGTTTGATTACTAATGATAGTTATTTGGAAAGATTCAACAAAGCTTCAGAGTTAAATAAATAAATGGGAAACTTCAAAATACCAATGTATTTGATATTAATAGCCATATGCATTTTTTATAATTCAAACTTAAAAAAAACACATTTCCCCCCATTTTTTACTGATAATATTGTTTATTCTTATTATCTACCATCTGCCGGTTATTTTTTTTTTGCTTTCCGTTTTATTGCGTCGCACGTCAGCGAAAAGAAGAAACAATTAACGCTACGTTCTAGCTTATCTTTCGGCTCTTCACCTGCAGATGATAATGACAGGTGTGTCCGAAGAGCCACGAAAAGAGAAGAGCTTCAAAACAAGTCAGCTGACATTAATTTGTGTGCAAATTTTTGGATTGGTAAAGTTTGAAGATAGCAAAAAGCGTCAATTTGAGATACACATAAAAAAATATAAAAAAAATCAAGAGATATTTAAATAAAAAATGTTTAAAATAACTTTGTTCACAACATTTTTTGTTTCTTGTATCGATGTATACTTCTTAAATCTTCCATATAAATTACCAAAAAAGAATTTACAAATAGTAATTTTTAAAACCCAACAAATCCTTGTAATGCAAAATGTAAATTGATCTGCATGCATTCTGATGAGCCATAAAACGTAATATCCTATTTATTAATTTCGCAGACCTGCTAAAATTAGCATTAAAACATTTTTGGTCATAACGGAACCCGAGACGAGTTGCACGAGCCATAAAATACGCTAGAGAATTGTTGTTTTCCGTTGCAAAAAAATGTGTGAGCGTGAAAATAGGCAAAAACAGCTGCGATTTCTACCGGCTTACTTAAAAACACCAACAAACAAACACATCTATATATATATATCGACGAGATATGGATATAGAATGAGAGATGTGTATAATACACAATCTCAGAAGAGGGGGGATTTCCTTCGGTTCACTCGCACTTGCTCTTGCGCCCACTCTCGCGCTCTCCCGCTCCCACTCAGCTGCTTTTGCGGGGCGCTAAACATGTGTTCCCACATGTACGTCTGTCTAAATGTGCATATATGTATGGGTGTGGGGCCCAGGAGAGAATT